GTTGATTTTATTTCTGTGCATGGACATTGATTTTATTTTTCACTTTTGATTTTTTTTTGTAAATAAAAACAATTTTTTAGAAAAAATTTCCAACTGGATTTGGCAATTTTTCATACAGTCAATTATAGATACTTAATATACTTAATACTTAATACTTAATACTTAATAATATAATATGATAATGACTAATGATAATGACTAATAATATAATATTATTATTATATATATCAAAAGTATTATTTTAGTAATTTAATATTTAATATACAATAATAATCAACATTTAATATAATATCTCAACAACAACATATATTTATTTTCGTTTTTATTTCATTTTTTTTTCATTCGGCATTTGGCATCTGGCATAATCTGGCAATCAATTAGAATGTAAATACAAATAATACATGACGTTTTTTTAATTTATTTTCTTCGTTTTTTTAAAATTTTGATTTTCGTTCAAAATTTTAAATAGAAATCACAAACACAAACACAAACAAATTTTCAAATTTTTTTTAGATTTTAGATTTTTTTTTTTTCCTTGCATTTATGGACTTTTTTTTTAAAAAAGCTGAGCTTTACATATATATATATATTTCACATATAACATATATAGACTTTTTCATTAATCATTTATCATATTCTTTTGTAAAGATTTTTATATATATATATAGATAGATAGAATCGCATTTAATCATATTTATCACACAAAGACATTTCGCATATTTCTTCATATCATTCAATCACTTTTACATCAATCATCAACCTTCCCCCCCTAAGCTAATTATATATTTTCCGAACAACAATTTTTTAACATCAATTTTGTATGATTTTTTCTCCCATCACACACGCATCAATCAATATTTTCTTTCATTTGCAAAAAGCAAATATGAAAATAATTTTAAAAAATACAAAAACAAAAAACAAAAAAAAATTAATTTAAAAATAAATAAAAAAAACAATAAAAACTTTTCCTTGTAAAAAAAAAAAAAATGTGTTAAAAATGTGTTGAATTGTCATAAAAAATGTGTTTGTCATAGTAAACCCATGTGTAAAAAATATCTAAACCACATGAACCACATGAATGCATTTATTTATTATTTTTGATTCCTTCCTGAGTAAATGATGGAAATTAGAATGGATGAATTCAAAAACATAAATAAATAAAAAATAAACCAATCAAATAAATAATAAACTAGTTTGAATAATTTATAATTTACGCAACAAATTTATTGGTTCCTTTTTTTTTAATAAATTTCTTTGCTCCTCCAAAATCCTTCTCCTTATAATAATAATAATAATAATACTAAAGCAATGCCATCATGCATTCGGTTGGTTCCGTTGGATTTCAAACATATTAATAATATTATATTATTAAGAAAATTTGGAAAACTAGAACAAAAAGAATAGTTGCACAAAATGCCATGTTTCCTGAAATTTTCATATCATTATTACTATCATTATCCAATTATCATTATTATCATCACCATTATCATTTTTATTTTTCCTGTTTGCTTTATTTTTTTCCATTAGGATAAATTAAACGAAATAAGTTATTGTTTTCTTGAACTTCTCGCCCGCACATTTTCTCGCATTTTTTTTCTTCAATTATTAAAATATACGCCTATTACTATATTGTTATAAATTTATTATAGGGAAAATTAAAATAAATTGTTGTTTTTTGGAGAAGTGGAAGATAAAATAAACAAAATAATAATAATAAATAAAGACTTAAACATGAACCGAGAAATAAATAAAAAAATGTTCTATATAACACTAAATTTATCATTTTTGATATCCGTTTTTTCCGATACGGAAAATTTTTTTTTCCATTCCTCTTTTTTTTTTTGGCAATTGAGATTTTAGAGTATTCTATAGTGGCTTATTATACAGAATGGATAGTCGTCAATTAAGTATGGTATCATCGTCAAGTAGGTTGCAAATATGGTAAATCTCACCACCTCAGCCTAACACGCAGGTGTTTTATGCCACAATTGAATTTTCATTATACGGGTTTTTTTTTATTTTAATTCACGCAGAAATAAAAATTGGTATTGCGCCCACAAGAATGTGTCACAATGGGTTTGTGCCAGCCACAATTGAATTTCTCATTTTATGGCAAAGTAAAAAAAAATTGTATTACGTCAACAAGGGAGAGCAATTGATTTATTTGTCTGTCCTTTAGAGAACATTTTCCATAACTCTATATATTAATAACATGCGTTTTTCAAAACTTGGACTTTGAGGGGGGTTTTCTCCATAATATAATAATATATGCACGTCCCCTATTGTGGAATGTATTTTCTTTTTTTATTTTTCTATTTTGTTCTATTTATATACGACAGGCATAATTAATATTAATTACTGAAGGTCTTGCTTGATCAAATAATAAAAGTCAAAACTAATGCGGAGGTAGGGGTTTGATGCTTTTTGTTCGCGGGGATTAATTTTTCTCAAATATGTCACCGGTTGGTGTATCACCACATTCTAGAGATTACATAATGGTTTCATTAAAATACATCAATTATGGATTAACAGCTTTGATTGTTGACGGTGCATGTTGCGGTGCAGCCTGATTGTCACCTCTTTCTTCTTCGATCTATACCCTATAAAAAAAAACTAACCCGTGATAACATATTTATGGAAAAATCATGGAAAGGTTACAGAAGAATTTGCCATTGTCGCGAATTCGTGGAAATTTTCAAAGTATTTTCTGGGGTAGACTATATTTTTTTTTATATATAGGATAAACCATTAAAAGAGTCATATAAGTGAGTTTTCTAGTTTTAGGATCAAAATATTCGTGAATATTCTAATGATGCGGTCAGGTTTCTTCTCTCGTTAATAATATTTGAAAAGTCTAGGTTCCTACAATTGATATTTTGATTATTCCTGATATACACCAACACTTTAAAATTACTAATTTGTCTTTTCTTTTGTCTAACTGAATCTTGATGACACTAAATAATTATGGCGCCACGATGTAACCTTGAAAATATGTAAACCACACTTCCAATAGTCATAAATATTCAAAAGGTATAGTTTTTACTTTTGTCATCAAACAGAGGTAAACTTACTTGAATTTTATTAGAAATGAAGTTAAGTGGTAACCTTCGCTTATTAAAGCAATGTTCATTCAGATTTAATTTGAATATGCATGACAAAGAATTTTTTATATATATAGTAATTTTCTACTTGTATTACAATTTTAGTAAAATATTTTAAACATAATTTATTTTCCTCGAATAAATGTGTTATTAATAAAAGCAGTAGTAGCAGTAGAATGGAGAATGAAATTGATGTATTATTGCTGTGATCTACACTTTCCATAGGATAAACCCAAATTTAATTTTTCACATTTACAACCAATAAAATCAAATAATAATAACAATAATTTTCTCTCATACTATTTGATCCCTTGTAAATTAATAATATTAATAATCTATTTAATCAATACTATTTGATAGAACAAATTAAATCCTTAAAAACTAAAGATGGCAAGTCATATTAATGCATCAGCCACATTATTTGTTTCGGTTAAAATATTTAATTGGTGCAAAATATCCAAAAAAAGTAATAAACTGCCCAGTGATATTTTAAAACCCGGAGCCATCGGTTCACATTCTATCCGATGAAATATTTTCTTTACCCTGGGACAATTAATTACCATTCATTATCATCAATTAATGTTTTTAATACTCTTTAAGATCTTTTATTTCAAGCAAATGTTTCAAGATGATAAAATTTATCTCCTGGTTGATTTATTTGAACTTCTCATTTCTTTCATTATTTCTTTCATTGATGCCTATTTCATTATTTATTTCATGTTTTTGGATGTAAATGTTTATTTCCACGTTTCAAACTTTTAACACCTATATATATCTCATATCATTAACCAACCAAGTTAGGCCAAATAATTCATTCATCCTCCTCCATTTGACATCATATTCGAAACAATAAAGTTTCAAAATTTGAATTTTTTTTTTATTTATGATTTATTTTTATTTGTGATTTATTTTTATTTATTTTTATTTTTATCAACTATTTCCAAATTTAGAAGATAATATAAAGTTGCAAAAAATAAGTCTAATGATAACGTTTCAGAAGTTTGAAACTAACAACAATAGCAAAATTTTAATAATAAACCATTGTCTGTGTCTCACGTGACGAAGATCATAATTATAACAATCATTGTATTTCATTTTTAATATTATTGTTTTTTTTCGACGCATGATCTGCACAATTCAAACGTTAAAAATCTTAATTCAAAATAAAAAAATCATCATAAAACCTCCAAATTTTTAAGATCTTGGTAAAAATAATTTTGTTGCGTAAAAAAAAAATTTTCGAAACGTGGACATTAAAAAAAAAAAACGGATTTATTTTGAGTTTGAATTTGTTTGTTGTTGTTTTTATGTCTATATTAATATTAGTTTATTGATCGATCTTGGTTTATTAGGATTAGGTATACTAGCATTAGTGTATTTATTAATACTAGTTCTAATATAAATTTTATATTTTGTCAATGCGCATATTGTATATGCACACATGTTTTCGTTGTCTACACACAAAAAAAATAAACCCGTTTAATAATGAATGAACATAAAATTGGTAATAATTTAATTCTTTATTTAACGGAAATCGTTTTTTTACCGGAATTCATTGTTTTCTGGTTTCAGTTTGTAAAGAAACAATATTAACTACTAATTAACTTATAACCAAGAAAAGGTTTAATAGTTTTCTTATAATTTCGGTGGTTATATAAAGGCAATGTGTGGACGTGAATTCATATCTTTCTTTCATTTCAGAATAATAAGAAATAAATAAATAAATAAATATAGCTCAAAATTTTACAGAATTTTTTTTTTTTTTTGAATAATTAATAATTCATCAAAATTAATACTTATTAAATCCTCAATTCTATTTCACTTCTTATATAACATACACGCATAAAATATAATTTTTTAATTACAATTTTTTACATTTCTTTATATAAAAATTAAAAAATGTCGAACCAACAACAATCAGTTGAAATTCCAGTCCCATACTTAGTCTCAAAATTACATGAAATGGGCTCGATGTTTTACAATGATCCATCTACAGCATACGCGGAATTAAGCATCAATGAGCAAAGAACTTTCTTTATTCACAAGGAATATCTTGAATTCCAATCTAATTACTTCTGCGACATCTTTACAAAAAAGAAAGTTAAGAAAGGCGATCTTATCAAAATCAATTTACCATCACCTGATACTTTCGAAATAATCTTGGAATTTTTTTATTTTGGAGACGAGGATAGATTCTATGATAAATTGAACATAGACAATTATTATGACGTAATGAAAAATGTGAATCTCTTGGGCTTATCCAGCGAAATTAAAAATATTTGTCTAGCTTTCTATCAAGATAATCGTGAATTTCTATAAAATTTCTTTAAAATTTAATTATTGGAGTATCGTTTATTATTTTTTGTTAGTTGATCTAATAACAATAATAGTTAATTGTAAAATTTGTTAATTCTTAATTGTATTTTTTTCCATTTCTTTTTTTTAATAATTATAATAATAATAAATAAAAAAGTATTATCGCTTTATCGTAATTTCTTTTATGCATGTTGCACTACTGATACTAACTATTTTAATATACACGATAATTTTATAAGCATCAATCTATCTTTAAAAACCCCCTTTTTTTTTGTTAAAATGACCATTCGTATTTTAAACGATACTACTATTCGTAAATTACGTGCTTCTCTCATAACTTGTTTATCTCAATGTGTTGCTGAATTAGTCCAAAACAGTAAATGGTTCTTTTTTTTCCTTTTTCCCTATTATTTAGAATTGCTTATTTGTACAATTTACAGCTATAAATAATTTCACATTACTTTAGGCCTTGACGCTTCTGCTACCAGCATAGAGATTCATGTTGATGTAACCAAATATTTTATCCAGATTATTGATAATGGAACAGGAATCCCTCCAGACGATATGAATAACATTGGAAAGCGTTATGGTAAATGAATGAAATTATTATTATTCATAGTGTGATTTATTATTTTTGTTTTTATCAATTCACTTATCCACCTTCTTCAACTTCATAAATTACTATTATAGCAACATCTAAATGTCACACATTGGATGATTTGAAAAATGTTACTACTTATGGTTTTCGTGGAGAAGGTTCTTAATTAATAGTTAATAAAATATATTCATGACCTTCTTATTTTTAATCCTCCCCCAAAAAAATAATAGCTTTGGCAAATATTGCTGAACTTTCAATTTTGGAAATAATAAGTAAACATTCTAATTTTTTTGACACATATTGCACCATAATTAAAGTAAGTTCAATATGTGCTTGATCGGTTGATCGGTTTGTTGATAGCTACTCAACCAACCAGTAAATGTGAGAATTCATCTGATCTTTTTTTTAGGGTGGCAATCGTCTTCAATATGGTCCAACTCGTAACAGCAAACGTAAAATTCCTGGAACGGTCGTCATAATCAGAGATCTATTTTACTCTGTAACTATTTCATTCGGTTATTCATTCCAATGTCTTTAAACCGATTTACTAATTATATTTTATGTTCCCAACTTAAATAATTAAAAAAGTATCCAGTACGTAGAAAATATAAATCTGCTAATGCAATGATCAACGATTTAGAAAGTGTCAAAAGAACTATAAACGTCATGGCATTAATACATCCAAATGTCACATTCACACTAGTCGACTCATCAAAAGATGCTAAAATAGTTACAACTAGAAAGGTATTATTATTATTGTTATTGTTATTACTATTTCTGCCGATTCATATTGATCATTGTGTTGGTTAATTATATTATGTCTTTCTTTACACACATATATATATAGGTAACATCAAGTATTTCCATATTTAGACAACTTTTTGGCGCAACATTAGCTCAAGTAAGTATATGTATGTTTAGAAATTGTCAAATGTCTAAATACATAATTAAATCTCGTGTATTCTTTCCTTAACAATTTCTTTATTAGAACCTTGAACCTGTTTATATTAAAGACCATGATTTCAAAGTTGAAGGATTTATTTCATTAAAAGGTTTTCACACAAAGGTATTTTTAGATTTATGTTGGAATAATTATATTAATAACGACTACATATCAATGGTACTAAATACTCAACTTTTAATTTAAAGCAACATCAATATTTTTGTAAGTTTAATTTTTCTACATGAAAACCCTTCTCTATTTCTATTTCTTTATTATATTATGTTATTGTCGTTAAATAATGATATCTAATTATTGATAGATGTCAACAATCGTTATATGTATTATAACAAGATATACAAATTAGTTAATATTTTGTTTAATCAAAGTAGTTTTGCAAAAAAGGTAAAATTTGATTGATAGTAATAACAATAACAATATCATCATTACTATTTAATTCATTGATCATTGTTTATTATAAACATAATTTTTCTCTTTAGAATAAGGACGAACAATCTTCATCTTCATCATCACGTTTAGAATCTGATTTAGAATTGCTTTATAAATCTCGTGAGTTTGTTAGTTCGTTCATCCCATTCATTCTTTTTTCACCCACATTCCTCGCTCACCTTATGTTCATCACAAAATATTTATGATTGCAGGTAAAAGTCATGTAACTAGATCTTTAGAAAGATATTGTATCTTTTTTATTCATCTCACTTGTCCTACAACGTATTATGATATATGTTATGATTCTGATAAAAGTGTCATAGAATTTGAGGTGACATTTCTTTTCCCCCTTTCTAACTCATCATAGCACCATTTAATTATATCTAATATTAAATTATTGTATTTAGAGCTGGACAAAAATATTTAACATAATATCTAACCTAATACAACAATTTTTAATAAATCATGGATTTTTAATGAAAGAAATTCCAACATCACAAATTGAAAATACCTTTTGTTGTTCTGGTGTTAATAATCCTAATGACGATATTAAAATGTCTACTGGCGGCGGCGGTGGTTATAAACTTGATTTACCGCCTTCTTTTGAAGATGTCGCTCACGTAAAAAGTGGTGGATTAAGACAATACAAATTTCAAGATTCAGAACTTAAAGGAACGACTCCTCCTACTTTTACTGATGCTGTTGCTACAAAACGAAATGTCAATAATCCAATTCAAAATATTTTTTTTATCAAGAAAAAAAGTGGAAACACGTAAGTGTGAATATAAAAATTTTATTTACGATTAATGCTCATATGCATCCTAATACATTATAAACAATCATATTTATATTATATTTAGATACAAAACTATACCAATTCGATCAATTAATCGTCCAAAATCCTCGAGCCAATGTACGTCACATAATTCAAGTCATCGCCACAGTTCTGATAAAAAATCAGTTTCATGGGCTCAAGAAAAATTTCAGGTTATACATATATATACACATGCATAAATATATCTACACGTCGCATACATTGCTCTCTTCCAAACTAATTATTAATTAATTACAATCATAATCATAATATTAACAGAAATGGAAAAATCCCGTATTCAAAAGTTTGGAACCTCACATCCCTTCAATGAAAACTCTAGCACAATCATCTTCTTTTTCATTACTGCCAGAAACTTCCAAAAATCATTTTTCGTTTAGTAATTCTGCAAAATTAAATATTTTAGAACATCGATTTAACAAACATGATCTCGAGTGCTCGGAAGTTATTGGGCAATTGGATGATAAATTTATTGTTTGTAAATTGCCATGTACTGACAATCTTAATAATAATAATAATAATAATAATAGTGTTATAAACAGTAATGACGATAATGACAGGGATGATGTAACGGGGAAAAGAAATGTTAAATATATATTGGTTCTTGTAGATCAACATGCTGCTGATGAACGTGTTAGAGTCGAAATGTTTATGAAAGAATTTTGTGAATTTAAGCAAATCAACAATATTGGCGGTGGCAATGATGACGACGATGACGAATTAAAAATTTCTATGGTTGGAACAGTTAAATTTACCAGTTCGCCGATTAAAATTTTTTTAACTAATCGAGAAGCAAAAGTTGCATGGAGATTTCAAAAATATTTTAATATCTGGGGAATTTTTTTTACTGATAAGCCAACATTATCAAAAGAAAATGATGATGAATTAAAAAAGGCAACATGCGAAAATCAAAATAGTAGAAAATCAAATCAAACATCATTTTTATCTACAACGCACCTCCACTCGTTCATCAATCCTGATAATGATTGTTGTCCAATTTTTATCACTCACCTACCAAAAATAATTTTTGATCGATGCACTACTAGTAATTTTACATCTAATAATTCTACATCTACTATAAACGACGGTAATGGTAATGATGGTGTTAGTGATTCACGTCTAATTCAAGAACTTGTGCGTCAACACTTATACTGGTTAGAAGAGATAGGTGGTATAGGATTGGGAGGATTCGTCAACAATTATAATGATGATAATTGTCAACTTCATTATGAGCAGAAACGACAACTAAAATGGCAATTTATGATTAGAACATGTCCAAGAGGTATTTTAGATATAATAAATTCAAAAGCTTGTAGAGGTGCTATAATGTTTAATGACAAGTTATCATTGGATCAGTGTAAAGAGTTGATAGCTAAACTTTCTAAATGTGAATTTCCATTTCAATGTGCACATGGAAGGTAACCAAATTGCTATAATATTTGCATTAATTATAACCTCCCCTATTTATTTGTTAACTAATCGTCTATTATGTTTTAAAGACCTTCTATGATCCCAATATTAAATTTAGAAGGCATTCAACAACAATTTCACGAACAGCAACAACTACTACTGAATAGACAAAAACAATCAGTTTCATCGTATAAACAAAATTTATTTACAAATGAAATTTATAATCACCATCATTTGAATGTTGAGTCTTCTTCTTTCGCTATAAATAAAGTTGTTGAAAATGGAAAATTTGGTAGTTGGAAAAAAAGAAAAATTAATCTAGATAGATACCATACGTTATTTAACTAAATATTATAGATTTGTATATATTATTTTTATAATTATTTTAATTTTTAAAAATAAATTTATAGAATTTTACCACCAGGCATTAATGCTATTATTCGACATATTTATTTATAACACACAATTATTGTTACATTTTTTTTTATCATCAATTCGTCAATTTGTTTTGATCATTAATCAGCCTGTTTTGGCAATAATTACACCAAAACTATATGTTATATATGGTATGTACATTATTATTATCATCATTTACACATTAGATACTTCGATTAATCGCTTTAATATTAAAATATGGCTAAAGAATATGATAAACTGAATAATAAAATATCAATTCCAACAATTTTCTTATTAACATGTTTTATCCTACCCTTTTTAGTGTTGACATATTTATTAGTAACGTCAACAAGTAAAATTTCTTCAAATTCGAAACAGATTATTTCAATTCCATTTATCTTGACATTAATCATTATTCCTATCAAGTTTACAAGTAACAATTTACAAATTGATATTATACTTTCTACAATTGGAATGGCATCATTTCTTAAATATTTAGACATATTTTTTGTTGATCCTTTTACCTTTAATTACAACAAAAATAATAATAATAATAATGGCAATGGCATGGGCATCGGTAATGGTAGTAGCGGTAGTAAAGAAATTTATCAAACAATTGAACAGGTTAAAGCCGATGCAGTATATCCATTTCGTAATTTATCATCATCATCAACTCGGACACCCGCAGCATCATCACAATCACCTTCATATTCATTAATCAAGCCGATGATATTTATTTTAGTATTAGACATAATCATATATAAATATTTCATCAAGAGTTTGAATGCGACTGAAATATTTTCAATGAAGCAATTCCATTCAAGGTCATTAATTAATTTAATATTTTGTTTTTGCATACAATTAAATATGGAATTTGGCAATAGATTCATAATACTAATTGGATCATTAATATTTACAAATGGAAAATATGATAAAAAAGAATGGAAGTTATTATTTGATAATCCATGGAAATCAACATCTTTATCAATCTTTTGGGGGAAAAGATGGAACCAATCATTTAAACATATTTGGAAATCTTTAATTTCCAAGTTAATTTATAATAATTCAGGTGATGATAACGGTAAAAATAAGAATAGGAGATTATTGCTAGTATTTGGTATATTTTTATTGAGTGGGATTCATCATGAATTTATTATTTGGTCAACAATTTATTATTGTTGGATACCAGGGGAACAAATTATATTTTTCATGTTACAATTTATTGGAATATTAATCGAAAGAAAATTAATTTTTAACCATGATAATAACAACAACAATAATAGTCTATTGTCTTTAATATTTGGATGGTTTTGGACTTTATTTTATTTAATAATTACAGTTTCTTTTTTCGTCGATTCTTATATACGATGTGAATATTGGATTGATGATTGATGATTGATTGACTGATTGATGGATTGATGGATTGATGGATTGATGGATTGATGGATTGATGGATTGATGGATTGATGGATTGATTAAAATTAAATAAATAATAATAAGATATTAAAGAAAATATTATATATATGATAACTAATTTTGCTATTAAATTCTATTTTCTATATATATATCTATTTTTTATAAAAATTATATATCTTTTAATGTTCTTAACATCTCTTCACGCGTAAGATTTGTAAGATTATTAATTTCATCTCTATCATCCTCATTCATATTTGATGTATCAATTGGTGGTAAAACTTTCAAAAGAAAAAAAAAAATAGAATATTAGGAATTATAACAATTATTATAAATAATAAATAAATAATTGTAATAATCTTATACCTCTGACTCGAAATTCGCCACTTTTAAATAATCTTCTTTTTGAATCATAAAGATGACTATAATTTCCAACAACAATTGGAACAATTGGAATTTTGGCTCTTACGGCCATATGAAATGCACCCTTTTTAAATGGTAGTAAATCAGCTTCTTGTAAACGAGCGCGTGTACCTTCAGGAAAAATAAAAACGCTTGTCTAAAAAAAATTGTGATTGTGCGATGGATTGGTTGTAGGACGGTTGTGAGATGATGTAAATAATTAAATAATTAATAAAATTAATTGATTTATATTATTATTTTTTTAAAAAAATAATTTATTACTTTTTTTGCTTTGATTTCATCAGCAGCTTTTTGTAAAGCTTGTACTGCATTTTGATGATTTTTACGATCAAGAAATATTCCTTGACCAAGTTTCACTAAAGTTAACAAATATATATAAAATAAATAAATTATTAAACTATTTTTAAAAAGATCAAATATCAATACTAATAATTAAAGGGTATTATTTTAGACAATAATATTACTATATCATCGTTAGATAACTGCCATTGTCATTATGTAATTACCACTAACATTATATTTACTTACTGTACAAGTTTAGAAAAGGAACATATTTTAAGGATGATTTGCCGATAACTGTACAATTTTTTGGAAAAACTTTTCCCAAAACCAAGAGATCAGCAGTTGCCTGATGATTACAAATAAAAATTGCTGGTTTAACATCGAGATACTCTTCTCCTTCAACTTTAACAGTTATACCCACAGCTCTGCTAGCAAAAAATAGAAATGAACGCCCCACTGCCCAATTGATCAAGCCTCTTTTACCAATAATTGAAAAAAATATTGAAATAAAACTACCATATACTGAAAAAATTAACACTAAAATTGAACTGATTATTGCCTTAACTACAAATTCTATTGTTGGACTTATTTTAATACCAGTTATAATTGCTCCAATTATTAGTGCTACTGCAAATGGATGTGAACTAATAATAATACTTATACTATTTAATTTTAATAAATTGTCTAACAATAACGTCATCTTATTATTTAATTATTAATTGTTTTGATTGTTTTAATTGTTGGAGAAAGAGATATTCTTGAAAAAAAATTTTTTTGAACAAAAAAAAGAATATTTTTATATATATATATACGCTGGAAATATTACTAATCTCTGAGCGGCTAGTAAAGAAATTTGGAAAATAAGGAGTAAAAAAAGGGAGATAAAAGATAATAGGGTAAACAATGACAACGAAGATTGGTAGGAAAGATGATGACAAGGAATAAAAACAAAACAAAAAATGAATGAATAAATCTTCCGCTAATTATGTCATATATATGAAATTGGAAATGAACACGCGACTTTGTTTTTAATGTGCAATAATTATATATAATTATGAAAAAAATTTATTGTATAGGTACAAACAATGTCGTGTAACTTGATAATCGACAGATTGTTTATTATCTAAAAAAATACAAGAAAGAATTCATCTATTATCATATTGTTAAGTTATATATATTAATATGACATAATAATAATATTCATGAGATAATCTTATAAATCGTCATCTTTAATTTATTTATTTTAACATAGTTAATTAATAGTAATTATAGTAATAGTAAATTGTAGTGATAGTGATAATTTATATATCAATTATCAATAAATTAAAATCACCAATCGGTTTTCCATCCTCCCTCATCATCGTCATCATTATCATCATCATCACCGTCTCTAATATTTTCTTTATCTTCCTCCGCCTTCTTTTTCTTCAAATTTTCTTTCTCTCCCTTCAACCTTTGATTATATCCACCACCACCACCACCAACAATATCATCATCATCAACGTCTTCTACCACATCTTTATCAACATCATCCTGATCTTCTACAACATTGTTTAATATGTCAATCATCTCAGTTACTTCCTTTCTGATTGATTCAATTTCTAATCCCAAACTATCTAATTGAGGTCTAGAACTATTCAAATAATCATTTATATTTATGAAATTTGTACATAAATCATATGTTGATTCAATTGCTGTTTCTTTTTCTTCTGTTGTATTTGCCATTGCTGAAGAATACAGCGAATTGAGTTGACTTAGTAATGAAGATATTGTTGGTGGTGGATTCTGTTTGGGTTTTGATGCTTTATATATAATTATTAATTAATAATAATAATATTTTTTTAATAAATAAATTACATTTATTATTATTACTTTGTTCCTTATCAACAATCTCTAATTCGTCAATTAAATCCAAAATGTCATCAACATAATTTTCATCTTTTGTAGTAGTCGAACTTAATTGTTGTTCTTGGTAAAGTTGTAATTGTTTCAAATCTTGTAACATTTTGTTAAAGGTTAAAGGTTTTGGAGGTGGTGGTGAATTAGATTTACGTTTAAACATTTTTAATTTTCTGAAAAATAAATAAAAAAAATAAAATAAATATAGAATATAATTGTACTACGTGATTTTTTCATGATTCATTTATTTACATATTTATACCCTCATTCATTCATTGTCTTTTAAAATATAAGAAAATGTCACAAATTAGAACAGAATTAATAGCACCTGCTGTTAACTTTCTTAAAGACCCAAAAGTTCAAATTTCTCCAATTCAGAAACGTGTTGCTTTTCTGGAATCTAAAGGATTAACTTCTGAAGAAATTGAAGAAGCACTTAGACTTACACTAATTTCAACTAAACAACTTACTACTACTATACAAACCATCACCAATACTCCACCACAACAAATAACGACATTACAAGTAAATAAAACAAACAATAATAATTCTTATAGAACACCGTCAATAATACTAAGAGCACCGCCACCTCCTCCAAGATTAGATTGGAGAGATTATTTTTTTGTAGCAATTCTAATTGGTGGAACAAGTTACGCGATAAGAGTTTTTGTTAAAGTAAAAAATTTAAAATTTAAAATATTATATATATTATATGCGTTTAAATAATTATAATTGATCTAAATATAATTATTATTTATAGAAATATATATTACCATATTTTAAAACATTAACAAAAAAAAAATTTAATAAAGACAAACAGCAACTTTCCAATCAATTTATACTTACCACCAAAAATTTAGAAATAATCAAATCAGATACCCAATTAACCAAAAAAACTATCGAGGAACATTTATTTAAAGTTAAAGAGACTTTGAATACAATAAATAAAGTTCTCGTGAATTTGTGCGAGACCGATGGAAAAAAAGATCGAGAGATTACAATAGTGAAATTGTATATAGACGAAGTGCGAGATTCAATTTCAAAAGTAAGCGAATTCATGATTCTTCCCAAAATTGATAATAATCTTTATTAATATTTACATTTACATTTATCTTTTACTGAAGTTTTTTGAACAAACAAAAGAATCACAAAATCAATCGATTTCTGAAATAAAAAAAGAAATTAAATATCTAAAATCTTTAATAATTAATAATCGAAGAATATCGCGACAAACCATTGTATCACCAATATTTGATTCAATATCAACAGCATCTTTAACAATTACATCTCCTATACTGCCGCCGCCGCCACCGCCGACCCCAACAACACCCAATCATAGAAAATCTTTATCTAGATCTATACCGCCTTCAGCATTTTCCTCTGGAGAAACAGGAGAAAGGGAAACGATAGGATCAGAACAAGATTCAACCCCGTCATGGAAATTGGGTATGAAAAACACATCCACCGCAACCAAGATTCTGGTGGAACAATAATTCTATTCCAATAGTGAAAAAAAAAATGTAAAATAATAATAGTATAAATGTATTTGTGAAAACAAAAGAATAGAGAAGAAAAAATATTTTGCATTTAATAATGTTTATTTATACAAAATAATTGAAATAATAGTTTTACGTGAAATAATTAATTAATAATTATTTTTCTTTTTTTTTATTAGGCGATGTATTTAGATTTTTTGTTGTGCGAGCTTTTGCTGAACCTTTTGAAGAAGAAGAAGTTGTGCTAGTAGAAGAAGAACTAGAAGTAGACTGAGTTTAAGGTGTGCGAGAGGTGTAAGATTTAAAAATTTTATTTTTGCTATAAATTCAAAAATCGAAATCCTGAATCTCCTTTTCAGGAATCTATCAAAATACATTCAATAATTTTTCTATTATTCATTCTTCAAGTGTAGTATATTTTGCAATGGACATTTTAATTTTTTTAGATTTGTAAATATATTATTTATTTATTTTAATTTTAGAATATTCATATAATATTAATATGGGCATTGGGTGTCACAACACATAATGTCGATCAATAAGTTATTTTTTTTTAAAGCAAAAAAGAAAATAAAAAATCACATTTTCGAAATGCTACCAGTCCAAAAAAGAGATATGTTACCCCGTTTTTGAACATATTATAGCATAATATCTCAAGTTGGTCGGTACAGAAATATTTTAAATACCAATGGCGAAAAAAATCATGATCGAAAATTACCAGGTGTAATAAAATCTCGTTTTTCGAAATTACTAATCCATGAAAAAGAGAGATATTGTTCTAATTTTGAATATATCATGGTGTAATGTCTCTAGTTTATCGTTATATATAGGAGATTTTTTGAGGGTAAGAAATATCAATGATGAAAAAATCATGATCAAAAATTATCATATTGCAATGGGTATAATAAAAATTACATTTTTCGAAATGGTAATATTCTCATTTTGAATATAGCAAGACTAATATAAGTATAGTGTAATAATCTCAGTACAGAGATTTTTGAAGGTAACAAATTACCAATGATGAAAAATGGTTATCATAAAATTTTCCTTCCCAATATCCTATTACTATTAAATTAATATTGATGAATTTGCCGATCCTTTTGTGAACGGCTACATGAATCCTGAAGAAAAAAAATTTTATTTTTATATATATTAATATATATACATTAAATGAGATAAAATACATAATCAGAACATAAAGGAAATGCCACAAAAAAAAAAAGCAGCCACATCATAATATTTTACTGCCATTCAATTAATTAGATTTTGTTGATCCATTTGTATGACGCCATGCAACTTCGACCGACCAATGCAATAGTAAAAATAGCTGTGTCTGTCTGTAAATGCGAAAGAAACACGAATTGAAAATTAATTTGTCAAAAATTTTGTGTACAATAATAAATTAAGAACTGCCACGCAATACGTGCGATTTTTATACATTCAATTTCATCCAATCAACTTTTGCCAACACTGATCATTTCACTAAATACAAATATTTATTTTTGATATATAAAAGGCTCTCTCAAAAAATCAACACATATTTTTTTAAAAACAATTTCAATAAAAAGATTTATTTACACACATATTATATACATAAATACATAACAAAAACGAAATAATATAATATTAATAAATATGAAGAAATCTACCTTCTTCAAATTAGTATCACTGTTATGTTTAATACTAGTCATAATACCTATATCATTAGTACCGGCCGAAGACACAACAGCAACAGAGGATGTTGGTACAGGTATTTATTATTTTAAAATATAATTGATGTGTTTTTTCATGTTGATTATATATTTATATATATTTTTATCAAATTTAAATCATTAATTATCATTATCATTTACAAATAAATAATTTAGTTATTGGGATTGATTTGGGAACAACATATTCTTGCGTTGGTGTACACTTGAACGGAAGGGTTGAAATATTAGCCAATGACCAAGGACATCGTATCACGCCTTCTTTTGTGGCTTTTACTGACGATGAACGTTTAGTTGGTGATGCAGCTAAAAATCAAGCTGCAAATAATCCTGAAAACACCATATTTGATGTAAAACGTTTAATAGGAAGAAGATTTTCCGATAAAGATGTTCAAAACGATCTCAAACATTTCCCATTCAAAGTCATAGATAAAGATGGCAAACCTGTTATTTCTGTTAAAGTTAAAGGCGAAGATAAACTTTTTACACCCGAAGAAATTTCTGCCATGATATTGGGTAAAATGAAAGAAATTGCAGAGTCGTATCTGGGTAAAAAAGTTACTCATGCTGTTGTCACAGTCCCAGCTTATTTCAATGATGCTCAACGTCAAGCAACAAAAGATGCTGGTGTTATAGCAGGACTTAATGTCATGCGTATTGTAAATGAACCAACAGCTGCTGCAATAGCATATGGACTTGATAGATCGAAAGGTGAACGTCAAATTCTTGTCTATGATCTTGGTGGTGGTACTTTTGATGTTTCATTATTGTCAATTGATGATGGTGTGTTTGAAGTTTTGGCAACCGCTGGTGATACTCATTTGGGTGGTGAAGATTTTGATAATAGAGTAATCGAACATTTTGTAAAATTATATAAAAAGAAAAATAAGGTTGATGTCACAAAAGATTTGAAAGCAATGGGTAAATTAAAGCGCGAAGTTGAAAAGGCCAAACGTACATTATCATCTCAAATGTCAACTCGTATTGAGATTGAATCGTTTTTTGATGGCAAGGATTTCTCTGAAACATTGACTCGTGCAAAATTTGAAGAATTGAATAATGATCTTTTCCGTAAAACAATAAAACCTGTTGAAAAAGTCATGAAGGATGCAAATGTTGAAAAATCGGCTGTTCATGATATTGTTTTGGTCGGTGGTTCTACACGTATTCCCAAAGTTCAACAACTTCTCGAGGAATTCTTTAATGGTAAAAAAGCCTCAAAAAATATTAACCCTGATGAAGCTGTTGCATACGGTGCAGCTGTTCAAGGTGGCATTCTTTCTGGTGCTGAAAATGTTGAAGATCTCTTATTAGTAGATGTTTGTCCCTTGACTCTTGGAATTGAAACAACCGGTGGAGTTATGACAAAATTGATTCCTCGTAATACTGTCATTCCAACCAAAAAATCACAAATATTTTCAACTGCGGCCGATAATCAACCAGTTGTATTGATTCAAGTGTTTGAAGGTGAACGTTCCATGACAAAAGATAATAACTTACTTGGTAAGTTTGAATTAACAGGAATTCCACCAGCACCACGTGGTGTACCTCAAATTGAAGTTACTTTTGAAATTGATGCCAATGGTATCATGAAAGTCTCTGCAGCTGATAAAGGTACAGGAAAGTCAGAATCTATAACAATTACAAATGATAAAGGACGTCTTTCAAAAGAAGATATTGAACGAATGGTTGAAGAAGCTGAACAATTTGCTGAAGAAGATAAAATACAAAAAGAAAGAATTGAAATAAAAAACCAACTTGAAAATTATGTTTATACAACCAAAAGTCAAATAGAAGATAGCGATAGTGAACTTGGAAAGAAAATCAGTGAAGAAGATAAGAAAACCATCAAAGATGCGATTAAGAAAACTATTGATTGGCTTGAGGAATTTTCAAGTTCTGCTACTAAAGAAGATCTCGAAGAAAAAATAAATGAACTACAGGCTATTGTAAATCCAATTACAAGCAAATTGTATTCATCAGATGAACAACCAACAACCAGTGACGAGGATGAATTACCAACACATGGAGAATTATAAAAAAAAATGAACATTTTTAATATTTTTTTTAATAATTTATTCATATATATAATTTTACATGCATTTTTTTTTTTTTGAATTAGAAACAATTTTTTAATTCATATCCATTAATTATACATAAATTTTTTTCGTTTCTTTTTTCAATATCTCTTTTTTTTTCCAAAAAATTAGTATTAGACAATAAAAAAAAATTTAAAGACGATTAGTATCCATATTTAGTTATCCAAAAAATATAAATGAATTGACCTGCTGTTAATGTAACCATTTAAATCTGTGAAATTGATTAAAAAAAATGAAATACCATTGTGCATATAAAGTAAGAATAGACAGCATATTCCCACCAAATATATACTTTTATTGTTTTGTTCTTCCTCCGTCAAGTAATAAAGTTGTGAATAAATCAAAGGAAATAAATAATTAAAATATGGATTCCGGACTGGTAAAACAATTTAATGAAATTAATGAAAAGAATGAAAGGTTGAAAGAGGAAAATGAGAAACAAAAGATTGAATTCGTTAAATATAGACAAACAGTTGAAACAAAACATGAAGAGTATAACGAGTATATTGATAAATTAAAAGAAGTGATTAATAAATTAAAAGAAAACTGCGACAGGTTAAATAAAGAAACGGAACATTATCGTAATAAATTTACCAGTTATCAACGAGAAATTGAACCAAGATATAAAGAAGAAGTTAAGAAATTAAGACAAGAAAAAGAACTTTATCAGAATGAATTAACCAAATATCAACAAGTAATTATACCAAAATACAACGAAAATATTAATAATTTGAAAAAAGAATTCTCTATTGTTTATGAAAAATCCAGTACCGAAGTTACTAAATTACAACAATCTAATACTCGTGCAGAGAAAAAAATTTGCGAGATTGAAATTGAGAAACAAAACCAAGCTATTATGGTTAAAGAATTGGAAAAGTTGAATAAAGACTTGGAAGTTAAAAATGAAAAATTAAGAAAAGAAGCTTCATCATATCAATCAGCTTTACGAAGTGCAGAATCATCATGTTACAATTTGAGAGATGGAGATAGGAATGATCCAGTTCAACTTACTAATGATTTAAGATCTTTGCAGGAAAGAATTGAGAGATATGTAACAACTTTGAAAGGTGCCGTGGTGGTTGATAATGAGAAAGTTCTAGAATTATTCAAGAAATATAATTTAAAGATTGAAAACCAAACAACTCAAGACAAACTTTTGATGAAATCAGTTTTACAACGTTATGTGCTGGAAAAAGTTCTCGAATATGCAGATGAATATCTTAATAACATCAATGATCCTTGCAATCAAGAGAAACAAATCATGAATCACGCAGATGGATTGTTAAATATTCTTGGTAAATTTCATCGTAATCATTTAATTAAAGATAATAAAAATAAATTTACTACAGCAAGAAAAATTCATGAACAAGTTTATGGTTTATTGGGTGAACATGGATTCTCTGATATCTATGATGAAAATAATGATAGTAGCAATAGCAGTAATGGTGACGACAATAAACAGCTTCAATCAACCAAACATCCATTTGTATCATCTGCAGTACAAAAACTCAACGCATTAATGACTGAATATCGTCTGATCAAGGATGTAAATAAGAGGAGATACACGGAAAATATGGCAGAAAATATTATTAAAGATATTGTTAGAATTTTCAGGTTTCGTTTGTTGATAAATGAACCAAGATTTGAATTGTATTGGTTTAAACGTAACGAAAAAATCAAGCCAGATCTTATGAGAGGTACATGGGACGATGATTGTTTGGAGGATTATGTTGTGGATATTTGTTTCTTCCCGTTAATTGGAACAAATCTTAAGGATAATAATAAAAATAATGATTTAGATTGTAAAATTCTCACTTATGCAAAGGTTTATTCTCGATCCATTATAAATTCTCATGGAGAAGAAAGTTTGGAAGTGGATGAGAAAAAGGCATCTTCAGAAAATAATAATAATAATGGCATTATAGCCAATATGCTGAAAAAAGTTATTGGAAGACACGAATCAACCGATCAGCAAAATGGTGAAAATCAAGACGGTAATAACTCCATCTCTTCATCTGTTCCACAGGACAAGAAGGCTAAAATTCCAACAAAAAATAATGACGGTAACGATAATCCTTCTTTATCCAACAATAATGTAAATAGTTCAAAAAGCAATGATCTGAAGAATAATCATCAAGAAAAAAAAGGTAGTAATCAAGAAAATGAAGATAGTGATAGTGATAGCGATGATAACTATAAAGACTTGGATTATGATAAAATAGATCGTGATGAGTCGTATTAACATATATTTTCTGAAATATTGTATTTTTATATTATTATATTAGAATTATATATAAATCATCAAATTACTTTATTTATTGTAAAAAATTATCAAGCAAATAAAATATATATATATGAATATTTATTTTTTTAAAAAAAAAATTGCAATTTGAACTAGCCGCATTTGAAATGTATATTTATTTGTTGGGCTGGGAAATTACGTGGCCAAAAATGTATAATAAAATATTACACCGTTAAATTATTTTAACAAAATGCTGAATTGGTGAATGTATATAAAATTCTTTCTTGTAAAAAAATGTATTGTTCTTTTATTTAAGATTCGACTATCCTTTAATTGCCAATCAGTTAATCAGTCATTCTTCCTTTATTCCATTATTACTATTATTATTACAAGTAATTATAATTCAACTAATTCACCTAAAATCAACATAAATATGATATGCATCTGGATGTTGTGAATTATTACTACTACTACTACTAATAATAATAATAATAATAATAATAATATTATTATTATTAAAATCAATTTCATGTTTAAACTTTTATTTTTTAAGAATTTCATCTAGTTTGTTTTAACAAAAAAAAGTTTTCCGATAGTTGGTCTTTTTGATGAATCTTCATCCCAACACTTCTGCATCGCAGGCAATGTTGGTATCAAAAATTAACTTATTATCATCAAATGGTGGGCAGCCTGCAAATATTGCCCATGTTAACATCCCACTCAACACTATAAACACCTGTTTCTTTTGTGTTCTTTTGCCACCAAATAACTCAGGCGTAACGTATGATACACCTCCGCATAATCCTAAATCTGTAATATTACAACCACCTCCTTGCGATAATATGAATTAAGACTTTTATATGTATATTAATTATACAATGAATGAGTTACATAAATACCCAAAGATCGTAATTCTATCTTTTAATGTTGATTTTTTTGTAAATAACTGATAATTTAGAACAATCGCATAATTCCATTATCTGGGAATTTAATAGTTAATAGCATAGCAATAACAACTGTTTAGTGTTGGTGTTTTGATTTTATAGTAATATGTTGCCTTATTTATGTTTCAAATGAAAACCACCACTTCATCAAACATGTTTTTCCTGGATCACTTGAATCATTTAACGATTTTAATACTACACTACAAGTTCCATGATAAATATAACTTCTTATCCATCTAAACCACCTTCATTTAATTTTTAACATATCCGTTCTAAAATATAGTATGGAAAAGATGATTTTATTTAACATTATTGAATAAAATGTCCAAGTATTAAAAGGACTCTACTATAATTGTATACACTTTTCAGATTTACGCTTGTTACATTCTTTTGATTAGCCTAATTTATAAATTGCTCCTTATGATGGCTTTTTCATTCCATTAATTATATCTGAAACATATTGGTCAGGATTAAATTTGAACCAGAACGTTACATACAAAGTTCCTACTTTCTAATTTTAAAAAAAAAAACTTTTTTTCGATAGCGATACTTCTTTCCGAAAGTTATTTTTAAAAAAGAAAAATGGATTAATAAATATAGATTTATCATATTTTTCCCTTTATATTATTATTAGGAAAAGTTTAATTAATAATCTTACCATTATACGAGTAAGATACAGGTCATATTGAGATTATTACCATGAATTTGATAACCATTTTATTTCTCGTTTCCAATCCAAATCTCATAAATAATACATATAGTGTGGAAGTAAAGATAAACCGCTTGTAAACCAAGAATGCAAGAAGTGAAAAAAGAAAAAATCGATAATTGTCCAACGATAGGAATTTGATTCGGGTTAATTGGTTATAAGAAAACAATGTTATTATCATCATTACTTATAACGATGATGGTAAAGATGTTTTTAATGATCAAATAGAAACATGAATTTGAAAAAAAATTATTTTGATAAATTTATTTATATCCTTGTTATAAATTAAAATTTAATAAGAATTTCGATTACGTTAGTAATTACAGTGCTTGTTCGCGCATAAATCAACGATGTTGTACAATAATTATCATCATTGTCATCCTTAGAACATTATCATAATAATGTAATTTTTCCAAAGCCTTATTATAATGGATGAAAATCTTCGGGAAGAAAGAAAATAAAAAAGGAAATAATCTACATAATTTAAATTATCTTTTTCATTCCTAATTTAATCGATTACACACATATTATTGTTTTTCTTTCAAACTTTTTTACCAGAAATTCGTTAAAAATGATTACATAATTTTGAAATATTTTTGATTACCAAATCATTACGAATTATTATTATGATTATTTATGCGAGTGCGGACTTCGGTATAAAAATGGAAACACATATCCAGTTTGTTTATTTATTTATGTAGGTTTAAAGGAATATGGAAATAAGTAAAAAAGGAACGACTTATCTAATCATTTTGTTTTGGTTTATTTGTTTATACCTTGACTATTATTTTGTTCAGCCGTCGGTATTTTTATTATTTTATCAAATTTCAACCAATCATCGAATTTTCCGAATTTTCATTACTCAACCTTCCTTTTTTATCCTTTGGATTCACATTTATTAGAAAGTGGTTAAGTAATTATTTAAATTATTATATTTGTTCTTACTAACTAAAATTTCAAGGCCGACGATCTTGTATGTTGATTTCAAGTATTTACAAGGATCTTGCTATTTCATCGAAAAAGTTTTTCTGACGTAAACTTACATAATTAGTGTAATGATTGTGTAACTTATGTAAAAATTGTAAAACTTACAAGCCTGCATAAAAAATTCGTTGCGTATTATGTAAGTTTATGCAATTTCATATGGAACTTACGAGTGTAATAATTACAGCGGATCCGTAATAATTGCGCCCGAAAAAACATTCCTTGATTGTATTTGGTAGTTGTTGATCAGTAGTAGTGGGACATGTTTACAAGATTTTTTGAAGGTAATATTTTATTATTATTAACTACAACTATTAATTTTTTTATACTAACACCACTAATTCCAAATGAATTATCATCAAGAAAATTTTCAAACGTAACTTCAGAAGAATTGCAAGTTTTACACTAAATTGTTTCGTAATTGTGCAATAATTCTTGCCTTCCCTTTCCTTTTACCCTTTAGACCACATACACTCATATATAATTCAATACCCACCTCAGTGCTATTGCACATTTGATTAATTTTCTTTTCAATCCTTTTAATCAAACATTTTACTTTAGTAGATAATAAACAACCTCGATTATTTGTATGCTGATTCACAATAAAAATATCACTATAATCTTAAAAATTAATAATAATTATAATAAGTAAAATGGTCTTGCCTATTACTTGATGCACAAATTTCGGGTCTTTACGAACATATCTATTTTATCACAGATTCTTCAAGATACACTTAAAATTTATAGTGTCAATTAACATAATCTTTAACATAATCTTAATTTTCATTACTACTACAGCATTGGTAAGGAAGATGTGTGATTCTGCAAATTGTATTACCAACAACTTTAAAAATTAATCAATATAATTATTAGACACACGGACATATGGGCCTGGTCAACAGAAAAGGACCGTAACGAAAGTGAACTACTATGTAAAGTAGGTATTAGTATAGTTTCTAAGTAATTAATGTTCTACATGAAGAGTTACATAGAGAGATGGTATTAACTCAAAATTACTTTTTTCACATTATGGCCCTTGTCTATTATCCAGACCCCATATATTCATTTTTTAAAAAAATTACATTGATTCCTTTCATCTTTTGGTTACTTACGCGAAACTATTATTTTGTAATCGTAAGCATTATGTGCGTTAATAATCATAATCATAATCACAATCATAATCATAATCATAATCATAATCATAATCATAATCATAATCATAATCATAATCATAATCATAATCATAATCATAATCA